TCCAGTCTGGGCGACAGAGTGAGACTCCAACTCAATAAATAAATAAATAAATAAATAAAAGCTGTGTTAAACACAGCTAGAGCCCTGCCCCTACCCCTTCTCACCATCCCTGCCTCTTCTGCTGCATCCTGGCCCGGGTAGCCGTGGTCCTGAGCCATCCAGGAGTTTACTCTTCTGAGTCCAGCTTCATTCACTCCCCACGTTAAATCTCTGGAATTCATCAATATTGTTGCATTGATTTGTGATTCTTTCCTTTATATTGCTGAATAGTATTCCATTTTATGAATAGGCCACAAACTGTTTAACCAATATCCTGTTGATGGATACTTGGATTGTTTCCAGTTTGGGCCACTGTAAATAAAGCTGCTATTAACATTCTTATATACGTCCTTCTGCGAACATTTATTTTTATTTTTCTTGGATGAATACCTGGGAGTGGCATTCCTGGGTCAACGAATGAGCTTCAATGACTATTAATAAGTGGCTAAATTTATTTTCTCTAAACTTCTTCAATCCCTTCCTCCATGGATTATTATTATTATTATTTTTTTGAGTTGGAGTCTCACTCTGTCACCCAGACTGGAGCAGCCTCGACCTGCTGGGCTCCGGCGATCCTTCCGCCTCAGCCTTCCAAGTAGCCGGAATTACAGGCGCGCGCTACCACACTCGGCTGATTTTTTAATTTATTGTAGAGATGAGGTCTCGCTGCCCAGGCGGGTCTCGAACCCGCGGGCTCAGGCAATCTACTCACCTCAGCCTCCCAAAGGCGCGAGATTACAGGTTGAACCACCGAGCCTGGCTCTCCATGGATTATTTTAAAGCAGATCAGCCTTTCTATTTTCTGGAAAAACAAAACAAAATTAAAAAAACAGGAAATTATATCTATAATTGGTATTATTATTAATATTATTATTATTATTATTATTTGAGTTGGAGTCTCACTCTGTCGCCCAGGCTGAAGTACAGTGGCATGATCACAGCTACTGCAGCCTTGAATTCCTGGACTCATGTGATCCTTCTGCCTCAGCCTCCTGAGTAGCTAGACTATAGGCAATTGCCACCACACCCGGCTAATTTTTTTTTTTTTTGAGTTGGAATCTCACTCTGTCGCCCAGACTGGAGTGCAGTGGCCACTCCCGGCCACTGCAGCCTCGACCTGCTGGGCTCTGGCGATCCTTCCACCTCAGCCTTCCAAGTAGCTGGAGCTACAGGTACGCGCTACCATGCCTGGCTAATTTTTTGATTTATTGTAGAGATGAGGTCTCGTCAAGTTGCCCAGGCGGGTCATGAACCTGCGGGCTCAAGCAATCCACTCACTTCAGCCTCCCAAAGTGCTAATTTTTAAATTTATTGTAAAGATGAGGTCTTGCTATGTTGCCCAGGCTGGTCTCGAACTCCTGGGTTCAGGCAGTTCTTTCTTCTCAGCCTACCAAAGTGGTGGGATTATAGGCGTGAGCCACCACCCCTGGTCAATTTTCTGAAATTCTTAATTGTCTAATTCCACCACCATACTATTACATCTATTGACTCTTGCTCACGATAGTTATTTCCTGATCTACTTTGTCATGTTTGGTTGGGAGCTTATTTTCAGCAGGACATTTTCCTCTTATGAGAATCTTTGAGCCTAGAATTATGGAAAGATCCCTCCAGAGAGTTTTGGGTTTTCGTCTTCCAGGAAGTCTTGTGCTATCACTGGTCTTAGGTCCATTTTTATATTGAGTTATTGACATGGGGGCTTCTTGACCCTGTGAATATTACAAATTCAGACCCTAAGCTCACATGAGGTATAGGCTCAAAACTGAGAATATTCTATGGAGACATTTTATTTTTCCTACTCAGAGGCCATACAGAAACAAACCAATTTCTTGTCTCCTTAAGCCAGAAGGTACGTTTTCTTCTAGCCCACTCTTTCCTTTAAGGGATAGTTTTGTTTGTTGTTAGTAGAATCCAGTTTCATGAGGATGACTTGGTTCCAATTCCTGAGCTTTTGGAGATCTAAAGAAGGCTCATCTTCTGTCCCCACATGGGCATTGTAGCCTGAGGTTACTAAACACCGAGGTTACCAACACCTACCCCCATCCTAGGTGGCTTTAGCATTGGCTCCAGAGCTTATGGCTTGGGTTTTTAACTCCTTTTTTTGTTTGTTTCTGGTATCCAACATTTTCTATTTTTTCTTAAAAATATATAATAAAATACTGTTCATATTTTGTTCAAGATTTCTAAGTATTTGTGTTTGGAAGGATTCTTGTTATCTCAGCCTACCATATTGCTTGGACTCATGGAAGTCTTAGTTAAATACATTGTTAACTTGGCAGAAAAAGCTCAGTCATTTTTTTATTGCTATTTTTCAACTCAGCCTTTTTATAAATAGGAAACTTGAGAGCCAGAACAGTAAAGCAGCAGGTTAATAACAACCTGGAGGAAAAATTTATTTATTTAGGCTACAGAGTTGTGGGATCTCTAGGATGTTTCTGTCAGGAAGTTACACCTGAATTAGATCATTTTGTAAGCGTTCTTCCAAATCTGTGACTTTACAGTCCCATGTTGTCTCCAATATTGACTTCCAGGAAATTCCTCCTGCAGGTCTGGCATTCTAGTTAACTGTAAGCTATTAGGAGACAGGAGCTATGTCTGGTACATGTTGCCATGTTGCCAGCATTCCAATGTTTATAATACAGAACAGATCCCACTGAACTTCCATAGCTTTATCACGTCTGCCTTCATTACAGTGTCTAATGCACTGTGTTACAATTACAGGTTTACTCATGACCTTCTCTCTTGATTTAAGCTCTTGAAGGGTTGATCTACTAGGTACATAGTTAATATACTCAGTAAATAATTTAAGAAATAAATGAATGAACTCAATCCACTCTTCACATTGCTACCAGCAATATCTTCCTAAAAATATGACATTCAAGACTTGTTTGCATAGCTCATCCTAATGTTTTAAATTTACTTTTTCTTTCTCTTTACCTTGGTCTATTGCCACAATGGACCACTTGAACACATTCTTGCTGTTGCTTTTTGTGTTTGCCATTCCCTCATCTTAAGATGCTTTTCCTCCCAATCTCTGCTCATTGCAATCCTTTTCCTTCTTTAAGGAAGGCCCATCTCAGATGCCACCTCCTCTAAGAAGCCTTCTGAGATTCCCAAGTCTCCTCCCTTCTCTATGCCATCATGACATCCTACACATTTTCCTTCAAACACTCATGGCATTCTGCCCCATATTAGAGTTACTAGGTTATATCTCTCTTCTCCTCCAGATTTTAAATTCTTTAAAATGCAAGAACCCTTGTGTCTCCTCCCCACCTGGCATAATGCACTGTATATAATGAATGCTTCCTATATTGAATTAAAATGAATTGAGATTAAAACACCTTCTTGGTTCCAAAGGCCATCTTACTCTTTGAATTGTCATTTTCTTTTTCCTACCTGTGGACTAAGGCTTTGGTGTTGGTACTTGGGTTCCCTGCAGGTGGCCTATGACATGGGGGATTACTACCATGCCATTCCATGGCTGGAAGAGGCTGTCAGTCTCTTTCGAGGATCTTATGGGGAGTGGAAGACAGAAGATGAGGCAAGTTTAGAAGATGCGCTGGATCACTTGGCCTTTGCCTATTTCCAGGTAAGGGAGTTGGTGAAACTCACTGCTCTTATTACAGAACATGCAGTGCATACAAAGCATTTGCATACAAAGAGTTTTGGGTTTTCTTCTTCCAGGAACTCTTGTTTTTTTTTTTTGTTTTTTTTTGAGTTGGAGTCTCACTCTGTCGCCCAGACTGGAGTGCAGGGGCCGCTCCCGGCCACTGCAGCCTCGCCTGCTGGGCTCCTGCGAGCCTTCCGCCTCAACCTTCCGAGTAGCCGGAATTAAAGGCATGCGCTACCGCACCCGGCTGATTTTTTGATTTATTGTAGAGATGAGATCTCGCTGCCCAGGCGGGTCTCGAACCCACGGGCTCAGGCAATCCACTCACCTCAGCCTCCCAAAGGCGCAGGATTACAGGCTGAGCCACCAAGCCCGGTGCAGGAACTCTTGTGCTATCACTGGTCTTAGGTCCATTTTTATATTGATTTATTCGCATGGGGACTCCTTGACCCTATGAATATTACAAATTCAAACCCTAAACTCACATGAAGTATAGGCTCAAAACTGATAGTATGCTTTATGGTTTTGCATATGCCTTACAGTTTCTAAGTATGTTCATGTCTCTTAATTTGTTTCATATTCACAATAAGACCAAATGTAAGTTAAGCAGGGCAGTTATTCTATTATTTCCATATATCACATGTGAGTAAAATTAGCCTCAAAAAAATTCTTGTCACAAAGTTCATAAAGCTGGAATTAGACCCCAAGTCTGTCTGACTCTTAGTCCAGTGCTCTTTCCAATGCATCAACTAATTTACAGACACAATTTCCCATGTAAGAAGCAGTCTCTCACCTGTATCAGCAGTAGCTGTGTTGACAAATATTTAATGGACTCATAGTAAATGCAGATCACTCTTTTGCAATCTCAACAACTCATAACTCCCCACAGATGGTTTTCCATGGTATTGCCATGGAGGAAGAAGTTTGGTTGTTTTCCTGTCCCATCTGCAGTTGAATCCAACTGCAACATGACTAGTGTCCAGCGACAGAGCTGGAGTCACTTTCTACAGTACCAGCCTCTGTGCCTCCTCCGGGTATTATTTTTCCTTGACACTGTTGATCTACTTACTCTCTTTGTATGTCATGTAGAAGTTCATTTCCATAAATACAGCAGCTACCATCTTTCTCTTCAGCTAACCCCATTTCCAACAGAGCTGTTCAGTCTTCAAGAGTAGACTGGAATTTGGATGGAATTGGAAAACATCATCCAAGCAAACTAACGCAAGAACAGAAAACCAAACACTGCATGTCTTCACTTATAAATGGGTGCTAAACCAAGGATCCACAAAGACATAGAGAATGGTATAACGGACATTGGAGACTCAGAAGTTGGGGAAGGGATGGAGGAATGAAAAATCAACTATTGGGTACAATGTGCACAGACGAGGGTGGAGGGCACAGACTAAAACTCCAGATCAAAACCTATTTGTACCCCTAAAACTATTGGAAAAATCACCGTGGAGCCAGTTCCCTAGAGTTTCCAAAGCTAATAAACCATTTCTGCTTCCTGCATTTCTTTTTCTTTCCCCCTTTCCTGAGAAAAGGGGGAGATTGTGGGTGGTCCAAACCCCTATATTGCTGCCCAAACATATTTATTCTCAGTGCAGCAAACAGTCCTTTTCCTTTCACGTAAGTTCCTGGTGAATGGATCTTTTCTGTACAACTGTCTACGTGCTCCTCTCAACTCCCTGCTCAACTGCCATATGTTAAGGCTGAAATAGAATAACTGTGAGCCGGGCTCGGTGGCTCAGCCTGTAATCCCGTGCCTTTGGGAGGCTGAGGTGAGTGGATTGCCTGAGCCCGCGGGTTCGAGACCCGCCTGGGCAGCGAGACCTCATCTCTACAATAAATCAAAAAATCAGCTGGGCGTGGTAGCGCATGCCTGTAATTCCAGCTACTCGGAAGGCTGAGGCGGAAGGGTCGCTGGAGCCCAGCAGGTGAGGCTGTAGTGGCCGGAAGCAGCCACTGCACTCCAGTCTGGGCGACCAAGTGAGACTCCAACTCAAAAAATAAATAAATAAATAAATAACTGATGTCACAAAGGGCAAGAAGTAGTTGAGTTTTAATAGAGGGAGAAAATGGAGATGATGTGGAAAGACTCAGAGAAGATACATTATATCAACTTACCCTGAAAAACAGTTTTAAATACCCAATTAGAATAAGTCCCCTACGTATTGAATGAGTTCTGTTGCAAGACCAAGTTTGTAAGTCCAGTTTGTTCGTAAGTCCAACAAAGTTAGCCTAGGAACCCAACTAACACAATTGGCTGTATAATACTGTACTATAATAGGTTTATACTGTACCAGCTACATCACCACTACTTTTATGCTTCTGGAAATCCTAGACTTAAAATAAAGATACTGTACTACTGTACCCTATACAGTACTGTACAATAAAGTACACAAAATCACAACTACTTGTAGATGCACGCAGATGACAATGTACTCCAGGCATATGAGCTAACTTATGTGATTGGACACGCTAACGCACATTCACATCTTTGAAAGCTCACAACATGAAGGTCCGTATGTAGGGGACTTACTGTATTGGTTAGTTTTGTTTTGCTTCCCCCTACCTCTGATGACTTGGATTTCTCCTCTCATCCCTTCCACACTGTGCTTTGTCTGGTGAAATTCTGTTGACTTTGCAAGGTGCAGCTCAATGTCACCTACTTTGCAAAGTCTTCCTTAGTTTACCTCCCTCCCTGGCCTTTCCTCTTTGTACATAGAGCACCATTATGCCCCAGTAATAGATTTCATTGGCATTGTCTTATAGATGGTTTCTGTCCCCTCTTCCCCCAGTATACTAGAGGTAAATGTTTCTCCATGGCTCTTTTATTATCATATAAAATTTAACATATATATTTCATTACATGTTTTAGTTTTAAAAAGTTAGTAACTGCTAATAATGAGAGACAGTAGAGTACAGTAGTTAAGCTAAGGGTTCTGGAGTCAGACAGACCAGGGTTCAAATTCTGGGAAAACTTGGGCAACTACTTAACCTCCCTGGGCCTCCATTTCCTTATTTGTAAAAGGGGAGTAATAATGATCTCAATGGTTGCTGTGAGGATTAAATGAGTGTGTATAGCAAAGCCCTTAACAGAATGTGTGCATAGTACATACTTACTTGATAATGTAAGCTATTACATTGTTATATTATACACTGCAAGTACATGTTTTCTTTTATCATTTAATGTTATTTAGAACACAAATTTCCAAAGAAAATTAACTGGGACGCTGAAAGTAACTCTAACTTTCATTAAATTTTCATTAAATATAAATATTTTCATAAAATATAATTTTATTCTATTATACAACTCTAGCTTTGTCCTTCATAAAATGTAATCTTGTTTAATTACAAGTCTCTTGAAGTTTAAAATATGTAAAATTTTTTTTTGGTTCTCTTCATCTGACAAAGAGTTTGAAAATCTATGAGTTAATATCTGACATATTTATAGATATTTATAGATTACTTGAGTATTTGTTATTGAATATAGAACAGAATAATTCATGATATTAAATGATTAGAAACAATCTATATGCCCAACATTAGTGGAGTGGTTAGGCTCTCTGTAATGCAGCTTCCAGATGGAATAGAATGCAGCCATGAAAAATGCTGTAAAGATTATGTAATGATATAAAAATACTCCTGATAACAATGTCAAGTGAAACAATCAGGAGGTGAAGATGTGCAAAAAATGTGATTATGACTATATAAAAACTATATGTTATCCAAAGTACTTGCAGTGCCTGGATTTCAGTGAAGTAATTTTTTTCATTTTTCACATGTCTTATAATGTGCTTGTTATTGCTTTCATCATTAAAAATGAATTTTTTAATATACTAAAATAAAAATGAGAGGAAATACATTTCTTTTTTTTTTTGAGTTGGAGTCTCACTCTGTCACCCAGACTGGAGTGCAGTGGCCGCTCCCGCCCACCACAGTCTCGACCTGCTGGGCTCCAGCGATCCTTCCGCCTCAGCCTTCCAAGTAGCCGGAATTACAGGCATGCGCTACCACGCCCGGCTGATTGTTTTGATTTATTGTAGAGATGAGGTCTCGCCAGGTTGCCCAGGCGGGTCTCGAACCCGCGGGCTCAGGCAATCCACTCACCTCAGCCTCCCAAAGGCACAGGATTACAGGCTGAGCCACTGAGCCCAGCAGGAAATACATTTCTATCAGTTAGTCATCATTCAGCAGCACCCAGAGAAGGATTGCAGCCCTTCCGTGTGGGATTCTGTTCCCCAGATTTGTCTGGAAAGCCCTGTTTCCTTTTGATCATGTGGAGCCCAAGGTCGAATGACTGCAGGGAGATTTCATTCCTGTGCATGAGGGAAGGTTACTGGTTTAGTTGTTCCTTTGCCGCCCTCCCACTATAACTCTGTAGACTCTAGGAAGAACTGAACCTGGAGAACAAATTATATTTTTACTAGGGTTTTTATAGTTCTATATTAAGTTTAATAATAAAATATAACCAAATAACAACACCCTTCAGTTATGTGGTTTTGCATACTGATGGCACTTTAAGAGAGCTTATATTTATTTTCCTATCTTCCCGGGTAAGGGTGGGAACGAGTCATTTGTAAGTGAGAAAATCGATGAAACCTGACTCGCAGCAGGGTCACAGATTTTCCACATTTCTATTCTGCTGCTCCTTTCAATGAGCCTTGTTATCTACCTGTGGAAAGACTCTGTTACAGACTTTTAAAAAATCCATGTAATGATTTGGTCACAGGAAACATGCTCAGTGCAGTTAACACTTTCTTTTTCTTTCCTTTCTTTTTTTCTTTCTTTTTTTTTTTTTATAGGCAGGAAATGTTTCGTTTGCCCTCAGCCTGTCCCGAGAGTTCCTTCTCTACAGTACGTATGATAGACGATACGTCAGCCACAGGTCTGACTCATAGAGAACTGCCTTCTGCTCCTGGCCTTTAATCCTTGATCGGAAAATACAGCTATCTACCATTTTTATTATAATCTCAAAATAATCCAAGTCATATTTCAAATTTTGGGTGAAACCTTACTTATATGCAGATCAGCGCATTGGGGAAATTTTTTAGTTGGAAAATGCCGAGAAGATCATATCAATCTGTCCCTGGCCCCCTCCACCCAACCAGTGATATATTAGTGTTGCTACAATGGAGACCTTTTAAAGACCCAGGTTTTGGAAGTAGATCTTGGAATGAATGAAGTCAGTACATCCTATGTGTGCAAGAAGGAGGTTGACTCAGCAGGCCTACTCACTTGGTCTGCCCCGGAGAGACAGCAGTTCTTCCCTTTATTTATTTATTGTTTTTGTTTATTTTTTTTGAGTTGGAGTCTCACACTGTCGCCCAGACTGGAGTGCTGTGGCCGCTCTCGGCCACCGCAGCCTCGACCTGCTGGGCTCCGGCGATCCTTCCGCCTCAGCCTTCCGAGTAGCTGGAACTCCAGGCGCGCGCTACCATGCCTGGCTAATTTTTTTGATTTATTGTAGAGATGAGGTCTCGCCAAGTTGCCCAGGCGGGTCACGAACCCGCGGGCTCAGGCAATCCACTCACCTCAGCCTCCCAAAGGCGCGGGATTACAGGCTGAGCCACCAAGCCCAGCTCAGTTCTTCCTTTTAAATCAGAGCTCACTTGGTTCTTCGAGCTTCCTGCCCAGGAGGCCTTAAGGTCAGCTTCAACCCTTCCAGGAGAGTGCCTTGCTGATCACACAAGGAGTTAAACATGAGGGAGTCACTTCCTAGCTCAACTCTCAGCTTGAATATATTTGCATAAAAATGTTTCTTTAATGTGTGTATATGTGCACATATATACATATACTATACTCGCTTAGGATTTTAGTGGTAGATGGTGGCTTCCTAGGTTTTGCTTTAATAAGGTATTTAGAGACCAAAATAGGATACAAAATCACTATATTGTTTTAATGTGTGTAAATTATTTCATATAGGACTTTACAATTGCATGTATTTATAACTTTTTAATGAATCCATTGAGTAATGTTATTTCTTTCTTATTTTAGCAAACAGTAGGATAAGGATGTAGCACTGTGTTTACAAATTCATGGGTCATTAGTGATATAGACAAAACTATAACCCAACTGTCCTTTATAGTTTTGTGTTTGATCTATTAAAATCTCTGCCTCTCTCAGGGAACCCTAGTTTGTGCTTTTACAAGTGGATAAGTGAATACAGCAAATTGAGGCTCCCGGTTTCATTTCTAACTTTGCAGTATTTTCATTGGTATTTGGCGTATCATTTCCATTCTCCAAAACTTTACTCCTCTTGTTGAAAGAATGGTGGCTAGGTGCAGTGGCTCATGCCTGTAATCCTAGCACTTAAAGAGGTTGAGGTGAGAGAATTGCTTGAGCCCAGGAGTTCGAGACCAGCCTAGGCAACAAAGTGAAACCTTGTCTTTACAAAAAAAAGAAAGAAAGAAAAAGAAAAACAAATTAGCCAGTTGTGGTGGCACTCATTTGTAGTACCAGCTGCTTGGGAGTCTGAGGCAGAAAGATCACCTGAGCTGGGAGGTTGAGGCCATGGTGAGCAGTGATCATGGCACTGCACTCCAGCCTGGGCAACAGAGTGAGACTTTGACTAAAGAAAAAAAAATAACAACAGAATGGCAATTTCTGCCCCCTTCTCTCCTCCTTTGCCAGGATAGTGGTTGTGGTTAGAAGCATACTGGGTTCCTCAGAAAAAGATGTTTTGGGAACATTAGAACAATCCAGCACCTTCTTCTGAGATGCATTGAGAATCATGCACAGAGGCCAGCAGGCTGCGGGTAGCTGCCAGTCCAACAGGGCACCTTGCAGCCACAGTGGGCACAAACAGGTGGACACAAACAAGACACAGGATTTCCTGGGTTTTCCGAGGGCTCTGTGGGAATCCAGGCTAGAACCAAAGTCTAGAGTCCCATACTGCTCAGCTCTGAGTCTAAGCCAGTTAGGAAATGTGAAGAATCCAGTAGAGATGAGAATGAATTCACTTCCTATCCTCTAGGGAAGAATACGTTGGGTCCCTCCGCTTTGGCTTGCTGGACTTCCCTCTCATTGCACTTAATGTGTTTGGTTGTAATTGGTAATTTAATGTCCTTTATTTCCAGTAGACTCTAAACTCTGGGAGTTCAGCCTCTAGCACAGTATCTGGTTGCATAGTAGATGTTCATTGAAGATTTATGGAATGAGTGAATGAATAAATGAATGAATGAAGGTCCTTCTTCCCTGTACATAAAACTGACCATCACACTGACCAGAACAGCCACCCTCACACTCCCTTGGCCCAAGAGTGTTAGGTACCACTTTCCTTCCCAAAGTCCTTTGTACCTTCAGATCTACCAGTTCCAAGGCAGTCTTTTAAAAATACCAGGTTCTTCTCTGGGAGTGAGTGCCTTACATCTTCCTATTCATGGACATGCTATTCAGGGGTCCCATTGCCCATCCATGTAGCAGTGAAGCTGGAGGAAGCCTTAGTAGCACTCCCTGGGGCCAGTGTCTGTTCAAATGCATTATTCCTTGCTCTGATTTCTCCCAGGCCCAGATCATAAGAGGATGGCCAGGAATGTCTTGAAATATGAAAGGCTTTTGGCAGAGAATCCCAACCAGGCAGTGGCTGAGGCTGTCATCCAGAGGCCCAATGTACCCCACCTGCAGACCAGAGACACCTACGAGGAGTTATGTCAGACCCTGGGTTCCCAGGTAGGATTCCTCAGAGAACGAGACATGGGGGACAGGCTTGCTAGAGAGTGAGAAGTTAGAACTGAGACACTGTGAGGGGAATGGGCTGATGTATTTTTTAAAAAATAAGCTCACTTGGGCAACATCAGAGTGACCACATTCTGTGTCTCTTGCATTCCAGTTTTTTATGCCATAGTTCCCCTAAGTTGGTTTTTGCTCCTAGACCCATCTTCTCCTATGCTGGTTCTACTATTTCCTTCCAGCCTACTCACTACCAGATCCCTAGCCTCTCCTGCTCCTATGAGACCAACTCCAGCCCCTACCTGCTGCTCCAGCCCATCCGGAAGGAAGTCATCCACCTGGAGCCCTATGTGGCTCTCTACCATGACTTTGTCAGTGACTTGGAGGCTCAAAAAATTCGAGAGCTTGCAGAACCATGGGTGAGTGACCCCAAAGCCTGCCAAGAACTTCCCTTTGTGACTTCATATGCCTGGAGTTCAGGAATGTGAGAACTGGTAACCTGGACAACTAGACACTTCCTCAGTCCAGGAGTTCAAAATGCCAGCCATTCCATAAAACTACCCATGGGAGAAAGGACGAACTGGAATAGGGTAAAGGGATTTGCTGGGGTGCTGAAAATGCGTTCTTAATATACCTTGTTAGGAAAGTGGTGCACATGGCTGTGTGCATTTGTCACAGCTCAGCAAATGGTCTGCTCGGCACCTGTTCAAGTCATTGTATGTAAGTTTAACCTTAAAAAAAAGTCAAAATAACAAAGAGCACTTCATCACAGGGGAGAGGCGTGAAATTCAAGTACACATTTACAGTTAGAGTGGAAAGTTTAACTTCATTATTTTGTTGAAGAGGAAACTGAGGCCCAGAGAGGGGCAGGGGCTTAATTAAGGTCACACACATTGCTGGAGCCACGATACAGTAGCCCCTCTTTATCCGTAATTTTACTTTCTGCAGTTTCCGTTACCCTTAGTGTAGTACAATAAGATATTTTGAAAAGAGAGAAACTACATCCGCATGCTTTTATTACAATAGCTTATTATGATTTTTCTATCTTATTATTAATTAGCAATACTTGTTGTTCACCTCTTACTAAGCCTAATTTACGAGTATAAATTAAACTTTATCATAGATTTGTATGTATAGGAAAAACACGATATGTGTGTGTGTGTGTGTGTGTGTGTGTGTGTGTGTGTGTGTGTGTGTGTATGTGTGTAAGTGTGTGTGGTTCGGTGCTATCCATGATCTCAGACATCCACTGAGGGTCTCGGATCACATGCCCTGAGGATAAGGGGGAACTACTGTGCATTGATTGCTGCTCTGTTGGTTTGCCTTCTTGTATCAGTTAACTTGGGCTAAGTTATGCTTGGTAACAAGCAACCACAAATCTCAAAGACAGAAACAGTGAGGATTTGTTTCTTTCTCACATTACGTGTCTGTCTTGGGCTCGCTGCTGTTCCACCCCACACTGTCTTCACTCTGGGACCCAGCCTGACAGCAGCCTGTGTGGGACATGGCCAATCTCATGGGAGAGGAAAAAAACAGAGATGGAAGTGCCAGACATTACCTCCACCCACATTTTATTGGTCAAAGCAAAGCATGTGGCCACTGTTGCGGTCAACAGGGAGTCTGTCTCATTTCTTCCACAGGGAAGACTCCACAAGTCACAGAGCCAAGCTTGACGTCAATGGAAAGGGGACACTTAGTCTTCCCCCTGGGAAGTGTGCTAAATATTTTTTAAAATAATGCCATCCACCCCACCTCCATGAGCACGTTGCCTCTTTAAAGATGGCATATCAATAAGGTCTCAGAATTATGTATGTCAAACCAGACATTATGTCCTTAATATGTGTCGTTCACTCGGGTGGCCATTAGCCATTCATCAATAGAACAGTGCCCACTGTGTGCCAGTCACTGTTGTGAGTGCTGAGTGCTGAGCTCTTATAATGAGATGGGCCTTTCCCCTGCATAATGGGGGAAACCAATACTTCCAATACACTATGATATGTACTGTCACAGAGGTATGTGTGGAGAGATGATCTATGGTGGCACCAAAAAGCAAGGCTTCCTCAGAAGAAAGGCAGGGGGGTGAAGAGCAGATGGGGAGCAGAGGAAGAATCAGGGAAGGCTTCCCTGTGGAGGTGACATCCACCAGAGGAACAAGGTAGCAAAGGGTATTCCAGAAAGACAAAACAATACGTGCAAGGGTCTGATATGTGATGTGTTCAGAGACTGAGGAGAAGTTTGGGGGCTCAAGTGTGCAAGGGACAGGGGTGGGGATGACAAGAGATGAAGATGGATGGTAAGACACTATTCACAGATGCTGTAAATGCCATGCCAGGGAATTTGGATTTTACCCCATAGGCTGTGGGAGAGTTACTGGACAGTTTTAAATAGGAGAGTGGCATGATCAGGTCTGTGATGTTAAGGAAGACTCTGACAGCAGATGTGGATTGGAGGGAGAAGGGTAGTGACAATCATTTTATCTAAAAGCCTCTGTAGGCCAGGTCTCAAATCTTTGTACAGAAGATTTTTGAGATAATTAGGCTCCACTGGTGAACTGGATTCATGAACTAACTTTCAATAGGTTCAGCTTTTCAGAAAGGCAGCAGTAGTAGCATTTGACCAGCAACTGCTTTTTCCTAAAAAAAAAAAAAAAAAAAAAAAAAAAAAAAAAAAAGTCCTGTTGCCATGGTAACAGACCAGTAGTCCACCCAGAGAGTTCCTTTAGTCATTCATGGCCAGGTCACCCATTTGGCATGCGCAGAAGTGTTCTGGGGGCTGTTGATGCCTGCCTGGCCTGTGGCTCTTTAAGAATACACCCTGAAGCCAGGCTTGGTGGCTCAGCCTGTAATCCCGCGTTTTGGGAGGCTGAGGTGAGTGGATTGCCCACTCAAGTGGTTCAAGACCCGCCTGGGCAACTTGGCGAGACCTCATCTCTACAATAAATCAAAAATTTAGCCGGGCGTGGTAGCGCGTGCCTGTAGT